TCCTTGCACTTGAACAAGGCACGGTCAATGACATGGCTGGGACAAACAGCGCCCTCAATGCATGACAACTCAACAACACGCAGCAATTGAACATATCAAAGTAATGCTAGCTGCTAGTAAACATAAACATACACAAAAAACACGTGTGGAAATTGCAAGACAAACTTTCAGCATTGGGCGGGTGTCCCGGAACTCCAACAAGACTCTTTCGCCAAACACCTCTTCACAACTTCGGTCGCAAGCCATTCCCCAAGAACTGAAGACCCTCGACATGAGAAGTTTCAGGGATCAGGTCCGTGGAATGATCAACCAATCATCAAAATGAGCCTTCTTCCCCGCACAATCATATAACATCTTGAAACACTAACCATAGGCAAAAGTTTGCGAAGATCGTTTCTACATGTTACAGCCAATCAACTGTTTCCGTATCTTTTCCTAGGCAGTTCGACTATGTTCTACTTATAGAATAGATGCAACTGTCTTCCCAGACTGGTCAACCTCATCCCCCAAGAACCCAGGAAGTTCCAGTTCTCAACCGCTGCCGTGGCACCGGCTTCGCCGCCGGCTTTGGAGCGCCGAAAAGCCCAAAGAGGCCGCCACTGGAGGAAGACGCCGGAGTCTGCGGTGGCTCGTGGGATCCGCGACGGATTACGCGCGGGATCGATGGAAGCCACGGTGGCTCGTGGGAACCCAGAAAAGCAGCCGTATCCGACTGGAAGTGGATGAGTTGGTGATCGAAAAGGTCTCACCTTTGACACACTTTTTGTGGGAAATGAGTGATGTACCAGGTGAGGATGGGACGTTTTATTGTGGAACATTCAAAAACCTCAACGCCTTGAGGCAGGGATGTCGAGACTCTTAAAGTATGATGATGGGCGGCCGTACTATCCATCAAGCACCCTTTGGGACTAGCTACGACGATGGTAGTCACCACCACTTTGTGGGCTCCAAGTCGTCCCTCAATGGAACTCCCCCGGTGAAGATGCTCTTCTCCCCGAGTCAGGTCTCCTTCTCTTGCGTAAGTTTGTCATGTTTTATCACGATGAGATGAATGTCTGCAGTCTGTAACATCCTTTCTCTTGCATGGTTTCCGGGGCTCCGGAACCGACGAACCAGTATCCAACACCCCTTGAGATCGAATTCCTTTCGGAATGAGACGTTTCCGAGGATTCTCACAAACGAAAACCCGTATAATAAAGTTCAAACATCCACAAAACGCGCCCCAGTGGCGACCGAACTGGCCTTGCTTGGCGCGGCCTTAGATACTCTGGTCATCTTGGGCGAATAGCCTTCCTGAAACGGCACGCGATTGGATCGCAAGCTGCAGAACCAATGCTTGGTCTGCATGGACTGGTTGGATCCCTGGATTGCATGCCGAAAAGGATTCTAGATCACAAGACTCATGCAAACTGTTAATTAGTTTCCAACAAATAGTTTTGCAAAAAACACCCACACCTCCATTGGCATTTCTTCTCATTATTATGATTTATTATGTGTATATCTGGGGACATAAACAATATCATTCAGATTATGTCACGGATATATCTGGTTCAACAACTAGGTGTCTTACAACTTTTGAGTTTCACGAGGCCCTGTGCCCTTCAATCAACCAACATTCGAGCAACATTATCATGTGTCAAACAAAAAACACGAACAACATATTGTCTGAAACATCATCTGATATATTTTGTGCCTTGGACAGTGCAAACTGAGCTGTGAAACTATTTCTCAACGATATCATTCAACGCGCCCTTCACTTATTGGACAAACTTGCCACAATGATCCTGGACTAGACAAGGAGTCAACCCTTTTCGGAAGCCTCATGAAACATGCAGTACGATTTTTTGTTGACCTTCTCTCATCTCTCCCAAGGGAGTGCCCACCGTTGGGCACACCATTGCTAATTTCCCCCGCAGCTACCTACACCGGCATTTGCTGCTTGCACCAGCAATGTCAGCAACTTCCAGGACAAGCTGCCAGTTGTTGCGCCAGGTCGTCCAACATCTTCATGCAAACTTCCTGACGCGGATCCTCTTGGATGTCCTGAATTCGGTGCGCTGGACAACTCTGCGCAAAGCACATGAAAGACGTCCTAAAAAGTGCTCAAATCTTTCAACACACACACAGATATATATATATATATCCTTCAACCTCAAAGCGGCGCACATATTTGCAGTTTCGAGCGCAATGCCGTTACGGCGAAAAAAAAACCGGCAAAGTTAGAGATTAGCCGATGTTGGTGAATCTGATGCGTTTTTGGCTTGTTCGATCCCGTTATCCTGATGGCTTTGATCCGGCGCCCTCCTTGCACTCGTCATGCTTTATCCAAAAGGTGAAGGACTGGTCTGGTGGATTCCCCCTGAAGTTCTGGTCTGAGGTTTCTGCCGTCGTCTTTGGCAAGCAGGGAGTGGTGGCATGTGACACTCCATACCCCTGCCTTTTCCGAGCAAGTGCCAGATGCAGGTGATCATTACGGATCAGTGCTGGCTGGCATCACAGGCAACTACCAATGGAAAGGTTCCATGTGGAAGCAGTCTTGAAGTTGCAGGTGTCTTGGCTAAGTGCAGCAAAAGACTTCAGTTCAGGCCAAAATAACATTTTTTGGAAGGTCATCGAAAGAAAGCCACTCTTCACCGAGCATTGGAAATTGTAGCCGTGGACGTACAGCGATTGCGCACAGAAGCTAGTCTTGGCTGTAAGGGGGTCCTCAAGTTCCATCACCAAATCGGCAACCCTGCCGTTCCTACTTCAATGACAGAACAAATCACATTTTTGCTCACTTCAGAAAGGCCTGGACTTTGAGGCTGTGTCAGACAATCCGCCATGGTGGGACACGGTGCTTGCTCGAAAGCCATGGCCAGATGTGCCAGCCCCGGTTCTCACCAAGATTCCTTTTCAAGTTTGCTGCCCTGCGGCTGTGTTTCGCTTGGATTTGCTTCGTGAAAGTGTGGGTTGGGTAGAGACCTCTCAGGCAGCACGCTGATATGCTTGGGCCAGCTAGGGTACTGTGACAGCGAGGGTGACCAGCAGTTCAATTTCCCTGCTCGTTTACAACATTCAGCTGTGGTCTTTAGCCAACAGTCCGGCGCTACATTCATTCTGCTGCTCGCTCTTCAACTATCTGGATGCACGGAGCTTTGCTTGGGCCAGTGTGACAGGCCATGATAGCACATTGTTGTGCGGGTGGCTCCTTCTTGTAGCGCGACTTTCCGTGCACAGTGCAGAGTATTGGCCATCGGCATCCAGCAGCTGAAGCAGCTATCATCGAAACTTGTGACTCTGCAAGGTGTCTCCTGAAGTGCTACACAGCCACAATCTTTGGCTAAGTCGAACCTGTGCTGTGAGGGGCTTCATCGCAGTGTTGACACAATCAGTGATCGGGTCATCGATCGAATCTCGATGAAATCCGCAACTGAGAGGTACAAGGTTACGGATGAGACATGTCTGGACTACAAAACAGCCACAAAGCCAAAAAGCAAGGCGCGATGCAGCCCATGTCTCTCTCTTTTTTCCACTCTCTTGTTCTTGCTCTTCACCTTCTTCACCGTCAGGCGTGACAGCGGAGGTGGTTGGGTGGGAGTGGATGTGGTGTTCCGGCGCATTTGTTTCGAAAGGGTGCATGTCAAAATCAAAACAGCATAAGAAAGTGCCGCTTGAAGATCTATAGTTTTTGAATGTTTTTGATGTGTTTTGATGTTTTTTGTCTCGCAGGGGTGATATACGATGGTGCTGGCCGTGCAAACCTGAAGGTGAAACTCAAATGCATTACACCTGCAAGCGCCGAGAAAGCAAGTGCCAAAAGAATTGGACAAACAAGTGCCTTGGGGTCAAACATTGAACCGACATCGCTCGGAGACAACCAGGAAAGGCAACAAAAAACACAAATTAGCATGCAGTGTTATAGCAAGTTCCAATAACACATAGAAACAAAACAAACAAATAAAACAATAAGTCAATCAAGTTTCTCCACTGGACTTCAGTTGGAGATAGTGCTCCATGCAACCACCCCGTGCGGCAATCTGACTCTTCCACCGTCTCGGAGCGATCGTGAAGTACGTCGCAGCGGAGACCGGACGTCGTACCTCAGGGGCGTTCGACCCGTCCCAGGCAGTCCCGTTCGGCCACCGATCAAATTGTGGTTGGACCACCTGGCAAGCGAGTCGACGCGCCAACGTTTCACAGGTCTAGTGTTGCTTGTTGCAGCCGGGCATTGGCAAGTGTTATATTTATGTTTGTTCACACAGCGCGTGATGTCAGAATTGGTCAGCTTGAAAGCTGCAGGCAAATGTTGCCTTCAAGCAAGAGTCATCCGAGTCATCCGACCAGTCTGAATCTGCTTAACATTTTGCTGCAAAGCCTTGGGGGTTGTTGATTCTTGCTGGACGAAAGATCAAGACATCAAAACCCATCTCAGCTGAGTATTGACAGCTTGTAATATCGCCACTCGGCCTGCATTGTTGTGAGTTAATAGTTCTTGTAATTGGTCACCACCAAGGCTCTGGTGGACAGCTTGGTGCCTGGGTGTTACATGATATTATATATATGGTGTCACCTCGTTTCCACACCATCGTTTCACTTTTGCCCGGGATGCCGCAGGTGAGCGTGGAATGGACGTGCCCATTGCACGACATGCCAGCAGCGCCCGGCGCCGCAGCACGGCCGCACTCGCGGGGCGGCTGAGCATGGCTGTCGTTGTCGGCCGAGAACGATGGCCTGGCCGACCTGCTGGGCACTTGAACCAAAAGTGGTTGGCTGCAAACGTCGTTTGATCAAACGACTTGTCATGTCGCGTTGTTTTTCAGAACCGAGTCACGAGTCCCTTGAAAATGGACTCGATCAAAAGCGATGAAAAGAACAATAACATCCCTTGACATCGATCTTCCACAATGTGTCCACCAAGAAGGTCACATCAGCGAACAAGAACTGTGGTGAACGTTGGTGATTCATCTCAGCCGGTGAGGAGTCCATGCTGGCGTCCATCGACTGGCCGACCCTCCCGCCTCAGCCGTCTCCCAAGAGGTGAACTGCCTGACTGCTGACAGCGTCCGTGAAGAGCGAAGTACCCATGCCCCGGATGCTGTCGGGTCCTTTTGTTGATTGGAATTGACAGCAAACACTTTGACACGTATAGGATTCCATCTCCATGCGAAGCTGGGAGGGGCGGAACGATCAAACTTGAAGGTCTTAGGATGCTTCTGAGGAGGCCAGGTTGCTTTTCTTACGAGGATAAGTCAGGTTCTTACCAATAAAGCAATTATCTTACCAATAAAGCAATTATAATCAATTGTACACGGCCGAAAGGAGGCTTTGAGAGAGGATGACAGGCTAAATTGAAAACACACGGTGAAACTGCTAAGCACAAATGCCTTGGCTTGGTGGCACCTTTTTGAAAAGGCTTGGGTTCAAAGATATTCCAAGTATTTCCATTGCACTTTCTCAGTAGACTTCCCAACAAATTCCTGAAAACGAGAGCAAACCATCCCCCGGGAAACCCGAACCAACTCATCCGCACGTCTTCGCCGTCCACACGATCCTTCGTTCCCAAACGCCGGTTCCGGAGAGCATCACATAGCTCCCGCGGAGACGAGGGAGACGAGCCGTGTGGGCACCATGTCTCTCAACGTCGCAACAAGCTCCACGGTATCCGGAGCGGAGCATCAAACGTGCGGTGCTTCAAACGGTGAGATCTGACATTGGGAGTGAAACTTGGCATCTGCTGACGTCCCAGCTTGAATTGATGTCCTCTGAAATGACTCAAGTGACCGGACCAGGTCGATGTTGCAAGGCTTGCACTCAAGTCACAACTCTCGAGTAATCAAACCAACAGCAGGACAGCAGCAAATCCACCTATCAACTGCCATTATCGTCTCAGAAATGGCCGAGAAGTGCAGGGAAGAAAAGGTGTGGTAAGAATGTCAGTGCTCATCATCTGCAAGTTATATATATAGATGATTCCTTCAACCCAACAACCCCCAAGTTGTGGATTCTTTTGCTCTGAACTCACGGTAGGTAGTTTTACTGCCAGATGAGTGCAGTGTTCATGAGAAAAACTACTTGCCCTGATCTTCAGCACATCCTGACCTCTTACCACACCTCTCATCGCTAACTTCTCTTGACACGAATTAGGCGGCGCCCCGCCTCTCTCGCAGGACGCGACGACGTGGTCGACGGCGCTGCTCCTGAAAAGGGTGTCTGACAAACGAGCAAGAAGCGCAGGCAAGCGATGATGTGGGCGAAAGCTGGCTGGTTGAAGAGTAACAATCTACGGGAGTCTAGCCAAATTGCTGTTCTTTGTTGGCTACATCTTGTGACTAGATAGAAGTGAGTGTTGCCTAGGCTTTCCTAGGTATGGATAATGTGGACATGTGGATTATACTAGTCAACTAGTTCTCTAAGACCGGCCCCAAGGAACCTCGAGATGGGCTCATGTTAAACTATCCCTGAAAACTGAATGGATTTGTTTCTCCTATGCATAGGAATGATGAAAATAAACAAAGGCCTTTCAAAACATCACAAAATTCTACGACATCTACACATACACACAGTACATTGATGTATATATATATATATGGTCGCATGGTACTTCCCCAGACGACCAATATTCAATTACAGCGCTTCGTTTAACAGCGGCTACTTTTTCGTGGCGCCCCACCATCCAGGCAACATACTCCAGAATGCTTGACAGCCTGGCTATGTTTGATGACAGGATCATACCAAATACCAACATGTTGGGACCTCAGTCACACCAGGCCACACCTAAACGGGCAATGGCAGCCTCGTACCCCAGCAGCTCACACCAAACTGGCTTGCGAATAAGACATTCATTTCGCATAAAACATCATAAAACAGTACAGCACCCAAACGCAGAAAAAATGCGGAGAACGCATCCTGCGCAGCATCATGAACACTGTAGAGGTAGCCTGCACAACCGCCGCCTGGGTCGATCGGTGAGCCCGCGGCACATCAGCCGCAGATCAGCCGCGTTCTCGGTCGGTCGTTCTGAAGCAGCTGCATTGAGACATCACCCTTTAGAGCCTCCAGTTGCTGTGAATCTCTGTAAACCATGTAAACAAACAAACAAAAAACTACTAACCGTGCAAATAAATACGTGCAACCGTTTAACAGGTATTTGAAGCGTAAACCTACTTATTAATCACACCAATGCGGACAATGACAATAAGGCCAAATGATGGTTTTGGGGTAAGTGTTCATGTAGACGATGATATTCATGTTGATGGTGACAATGTCTATGTCGCACATACATACCCCTTCAGCAAAATACTGTAGACTAAGACCATTGCTATTAGGTTGGAGGCCATCGCTCTTAGGTTGGAGGTCATCGCTCTTAGGTTGGAGGCCATCGCTATTGGGGTGGAGGCCATCGACTACCACCTGCAGCCAAGGCGCCTACCAGCCCAGCACCAACACCAGCAGAGGAACCTATCGTTCAAGACGGCTTCTCCTCTCAAAATCTTTCGCTGCACCTTTGGGATGGAAAAGTCCATCAACATGTCTACTGTATGATGATTGTGAATGATATGTCTACGATTGCACTTGCACAAGTATTTTTGCAGCAGCCAAAGGACTGGATTGCCTTGTATTTACAAATGGAATCAAGCCCGGAGTTGCAAAGTACAAAATGACTTCTGTGCGAACTGAAATATGTGATAGGGCAGCTTCTGTGTAACGACCAACGATGACAATGCAAACATATATCCCTTATCTACACCTTTGGGTTCTTCCATGCTGTAGGCCTCTTTCACATCTGCAACATGTGTGCTGGCTCTTGCTTGCCCCAGTCCCGCTCGAAGCCGCTTCTCGCCCACCGGGCCTACCACTAGTCCAGTCCATGCCATCATGCCGGTGAGTACTGGCACTGAGAAACCTCACATATCGATCGCGCGCCAATCACCGGAAGAGCATTCCATAGTATGCCAACCACTAAGAGTGGGAGTCTCCTGAACATTAACTCCTGCACACTCCAAATGGAACGCCCATGTCTCACTGACAAAGCTCGCCAGCATCAAGCTTGACAAACTGTTGCAACAGCGGCATGCAATGCCCTGGCCAATCAGCTCTTCCAGGACGAATCGTTCCCAGGACGAACCGTTCCCGGTACTGTTCCCAGTGTTTCAAGGTGATTGTCTCTCAACTAAAGAACTGCAAGAATCCATAGGATCCTTTCATCAACAAACATACAATATATACAGTATATATATATGCATGCATAGTTATTGCCATATCACGCGGGAAGAAACAGCCGTTGCACATCGCCAACTCACGACCGACACGATTCTTCCAGACACGTTGCCTAAGGTGAATGGCGCAGCCAGGAGGCCGACCTTACATCGGTGGAAAGGCCTTTCACGGCGGGAGAGCAAACCATGTCCAGCCGTGAAAGGTCCCAAAATCGAATCCCGAAAGCATCCTGACAGTATCGTTGTGCAACTGTGTGCAACACGTACTGAGATTTGATATGCATCAGTTTTGAGGCCCATATCAAGTAGCAAGAAATGAGGATGATGCCACAACCTATCATTTACCAAGTCCACCCTTGTCACCGGTATCACGCTATGTCTGCAACATATTGCTGAGGAAAAGAACACCTTGCTCACTATGCTCTGTTCTTGCACTGTCTAGAGATCTACAAATAGTCTAGAGATGGAGCAGCTCGAATCCCTGTTGGTGAGTGGTATGGACTTGCACCTGATATTCCAAGTGGTCCAAGTGTGTTCGCTGACTTTTATCCGAACATCTCCGAAGCCTCCGATGTTGCTGCTTGAGGTTGCTGCTTTGATCATGCGACTCTTCGCGACTCTGCAATTCCCAGACTCTTGATTGATAAACCACCCGTTTGAAAAGGTTTTGACCATCCAAATGGGTGGGTTTAATCAAGAGATATCAAGAGTCTACATATGTCTACATCATGCTCAATGCTCCACAATCGAATTAAGTCTCATGATGACTTTACCTCCGATGTCTGACATGCACGCAACATCGTCATCAATGATATGAATATCGCTTTGAACAAAAAACACACATGTTGTGCAATCACAACACGGCAAAATGTCGGACAACGACTCTTGACAGTTTCACATAGATTCACATCTGGAAAAATCACATGTTTGGTCTGCAAAGGAAGATTTGTTTGCTTGAGCTATGGTCAAATCCTGGCAGAAACTGGTTGCAACCCCCACTAGATCACCCATTTGGTTGTTTGGGTCGTAGCTCACTTTTGTCTTGCTTCACATTGGGCAGGGCAAGGTTGGATGAGAAAGAGATGGAGACTAAGCTGTCGGATAAATGCGTGGCACTGAGATGAGTTAGAGTCGTTGTCAATTTGTGATATTATCTACAGCCATTTGTCGCCCAGCCAATTGAGTATCAACAATTGTGACCGGGCAATATGTGATCGGGCAATGCATGGCGAGTTCAAGAGGAGCTTAAATGTGATTTCATAGCAAAGCAAGCATCCTCAACCGGATCAAAGAAGCAGCTAGTACTTAGACTCGGTAGGTCTTCGTCCCCGGTAGACTCGTCGCATCCGACTCGACCCAACGAGTCGGCCAAGGGACGGAGCAGCCCAAGACCCCTCCGTTGCAAAGGCCCCAAAATCCACCCCAAACACCGCAGGAGACTGCCCCAGCAGCTGCACCGCGCCTCAGAAGCAACCGAGGAGACTCACGGTGTTGATACAGATCTATTGTGACTGATGTCTGGTCAGCACAAATGTCGTATTGCAGCTGACAATAGGTGAAGTTGCTACAAGTAAACATCTCACGTTGGCTTATACAAACAAACAAACCTCAACGATGATATCCTGTTTGGATCTACAAGAAGTCACCCGTACCAGGGTGACTGCGTCTGACGGTGATCCCAAACCTTCACACTTACCTCCTGAAGAAAAAAAACACTCTCAATGTGGGCCGGTCACACTCCCCTTCCAAGAAATCCCATAGAATGTCCCATAGAAATCCCATCGGCAAAATCCCGAGTCCAATGTTACTGACTTTGTTTTTGCGGGATCC